TCTTTGTTGGTATGTGGTGCTGAGGATCGAACCCGGGCCGCACGCATGCCAGGCGAGCGCGCTACCGCTTGAGCCACATCCCCAGCCCCTCTTATATTCTTGCTACTAAGTTTTTATTATCTCATGCTTAGCTCATCACATACCTCTATACTTTTTGGAATAAATAAATGGTTGGTTGCTTGGATGTTGGATGGATGAATGGATAAGTGAGTGAATGACAACTTCCTAAATAGTTTCTCATTTCCTACCTCCAGACATCCCATTCAATTATACTATGAACACTATTGCCAATTTAATACTTGTAAAATGCCAATGTCATCAAGTTATGTCCTAGTCCAAAGCTAACAATAGTCCCTACTGAATGAAGAATAATTTCCAAACTCCTCAGCCTGGAATTCCCAAAATTCCCAAAACATGGACACAACGAACCTTTTCAAATTTATCTCATACTCTTAGTAGTAAACAATCTTCACTATACTGAACACAAATATGTTCATTTATAACCCAAATATTTTGCTTATGTTTCCTTTTTCTGTAGTGTGTTTCCTCTTTTCTCTATGTAATCACATCATATTTATCTTTCAAGGTTCAACATAAGCCATACTTCTTCCATTAAGCTTTCCCTTGACTTCTACTGTATGTCATTGCTACTAAATTGTATAGCTAATCATATATTGCTAAATTGTTTATCTCTTTTAAATAGTGCTTTTACTTTGCCCAACCACACTGTAAGTCTCTGGAAACTAAGGAGGGTGAATAATATTTCTTAGCTTGTCTCTACCTGCCTAGGATACTGAGTACAATGCTCCATAGGAGACTAACATTTAGTTGCAGAATAAATGGCCTTCCCATCCACCAAGTGGCTATTTCTTAGACTAATTTCTTTTCTTTCCACCTTGTCACCTTGAAGAATTTTTTTAAAAGGACAGAATATCAGGTCTTGTAAATTTTTATTTATTCTAAAATCTATTTTTGTGAATTGATGTAATGAGCATTATGATAAAAACTTGATGATTTATGATTCATGATTCTTAAATCCAAGTCAGTAGTCATTTCACAAATTCCTACGAAGGCTATGAGGAATGTTATCAAACAATACTATTTTGCCTTTGGAAGACCTGGTATCAGCTATGGCTTTGCTTCCAGCTCTGTTTCCCAAAACAATGTTTGTTTGTTTTTCATTTTTTTCCAGAAACAAACTTAATGGTAATTTTATTCTGCCAACAATGGGTCTTAAATCTAGGTCAAACCATTTTGCAGGCAACTATATTATACATTGAGTTATAATAATATGGTACCTATAAACTTATTCACTCTTGTGATTAGGGATGTAGCTCAGTGGTAGAGCCCTTGCTTAGTATATTCAAGGTCCTGAGTTCCATCCCCAGTACCTCAAAAAAACCCTTATTCACCCTCAAATCTTATGGATAATAGAAATATTACAACTGTTTGAAAACAGGCTGAGTCAACAGGAGAGCCTATGGGATCATTTCTTTTTTGGGGGGTGGGTACCAGGGATTGAACTCAGGGGCACTCAACCACTGAACCACATCCCCAGCGCTATTTTGTGTTTTATTTAGAGACATAGTCTCACTCAGTTGCTTAGGGCCTTGCCATTGCTGAGGCTGGCTTTGAAATAGTGATCCCCCTGTCTTAGCCTCCCAAGCTACTGGGATTATAGGCATGTGCCACCATGCCTGGCACCCATGGGATCACTACTATTCCAGGATTTACTAGTTCCTGGACACAGAAAGTTCTCATGAATATAGTGCTATAGTCAGCTTTAGCCTGGAAGATGCCTTTTACAGAAAATGTCCTTGTCATAGTACCAAGACTTTCAAAACAATTATTTCATTTAGAGAATTGGCTTTCTCATTCTCTCTGTAATAAGCAAATATAATTCCTCAAACCTAGTTTTCTCATAGTTTTAAAAACAAATAACTTGTGAGCTTCAGACATTTGCTTACAGCCTTTTCTGTTGCTACAAAAATATTAAAATGCCATTCTTAAATTTACCCACCCCTGCCAGTGATAGCCTAGGCTAAGACAGCTGCATTGCCAAGAAAGGGAATGTAGTCATCCGAAGCCTTTCAACCTAGTAGTGTGAATTATTACAAACCCTGGGCAAGCTGACAACTGGCTGTTTCCAAAGAGACTCTGGCTCCAGATGCTCATAGTAATCCATCACCCTGATTATTACTGAAGCAGCTACTGTGTGCATGATCCTGTGTGGATGCCAGCACTCTCTACTCATTCCAAACAACAGATTTGGTTGGTGGGCATATCTGGACTGTAGACAAGACTTCCCTTAGGCCTCAACGAATTTCTGTCTTGCTTTAATTTCTGCTTTACTTGATTGGTCTAGGTGATTGCTGCTGCAGGGAAAAGGTTGGTAAAGGAGACTTAGACACAGAGGGAGGTGAGAGCTAGCTTAGTCTGCTCAGACACCAGTGTTGGCAAGAGGCCCCTTCCTTTTTTGTCCACTTTTATTTCTGACACTATGCCCTGAGTATCACACTGATGCCCCTGTTTGGGGAGGGCTGATTCTAAGGCTGAGATGCAAAGGCTGACACTGACACTGGCACTGCTTCAAGGGCTCCCTAACACATATCTCCTGGGGGAAATATAGAAATAAATGGACATGAAGCTCCTGAGAGGAGCTGATACTTTTCACCATGCATGTTGATGGCTTGGCTAATCTCTGACTTAAGTAACTGTATTTTCTGAACTTTAACTGGAGCCATGCCTTGCCTTCGAAAGGTGCCTTCAATCATCCATGCATTCTGATCTTTATTCATTGGACTCAGAGCAAATCAAGATGTTAGAAATCTTTATAACCAGAGATCCTTTGTATTCTAAAGATGAATTAGGGCATTTGTGTGAAAATTTGGAATAATTGGGTCATTTGTTGCACTTACAAAACAGAACAAAGGTAAGGCTGATTTCTGCTTTGTTGAGAATGTTTTGAATTTACGAATGCAGAAGACAAGATGTAAAGTAAAAGCCAGCTACCAATATGATGTGAAGCCCTTACTGTCTCACCATTTAGAACCCATGCTTGCAGTCTACAAGTAGTGCAGTGTATAGGACCGGCCTGGGACAAACTTATGAAGGGAAGTGTGTCCTCGATTTCCTGTAGTTTCTATATACCTTCCTTTTATCTTTATTTTTCCTGTACAGGAACAGATGCCTGTCTTCATCCCCATCTTTTAAAGTCTTTGCTTTGATCTGGCTGTCACAGGTGAAAAGAATCTATGACACTGAGCTCATAAATTGGGGATGGATGGCTTTGTGTTTGACCCCATCCCAGAGACACTTATACCTTATCCAGTTTGTTTCTTAAGTAATACATAAAGCAATAGAGCTACAATGGTTAAGAGTTCAACCCATTGGAGTCAATGGGCTGTAGAGATAGTTGTGGGCAGAAGAGTCTTCTACAAGATCCCTCTCATGACACCAGCTGTGGAGGTAGTTCTTCTACTTAGTTCAGAGGACCCAGGCCTGAGCAAAGCACAGGCATAGAAGCTTCCTTTCAGTGAAGTATCTTACCATGCAGTACTTGCCTATAGAGTGTATTTCCAGAGTTGGGATATGATTCTCAGAAATAGCTCTGTCATCTCAGTATCTGACAGGATGGAGGTGGTTGTGACCACCTATGGATCCAGCCCTAAAGCCATCTTTCCACCTGTGGAAACATGACTGTAGAAGCCTGAGATCTAGAAGCAGAAAATTGCTTCCCAAGCTACAAAGTAGTGTCACTAGCCTGACTGAGGAAGAAACCAGGGGACAGCCTTGCAGGAACTCTCCTTCTCCTTAAGTATGAGAAAAAAAGAATTTTTTCAGTACTGGGAGTCACCCAAGGCCTCATGGCATGCTAGACGCAAGGCAAGCACGAGGAGATCTATTATTCATTGAGCATATGCCAGGGTGCCAGGCACTGTTCTAAGTGCTATTAGCAGTTTAATATGGTCCTCACAAAACACCATATGAGATATGTAGTTCCCATGAGGCTAAAGAAGTTTAGCATCTTGCTTTCATTGATAATTATTAGCAGAACTAGGATTCCAGATCAAGTCTGTCTGGCTTCAGACTCAACATAACCAATATATTATATCGTTCAATTTCCAGTCTTGATTTAGAAATAAAATAAGTGGGATAAAAATGCCAAGGTTTGGGGCTGGGGCTGTATCTCAGTGGTGGAGTGTTTGCCTAGCACATGTGAGGCATAGGGTTCCATCCTCAACACCACATAAAAATAAACAAATAAAATAAAGATATTGTGTCCATCGATAACTAAAAATTTTTTAAAATGCCAAGGCTTCGTGTTGGAAAATAAAAGTGGACTCAGAAGAGGAATGTCAGCCAGTTCAGTAAGCAGTTTGAGTCATAGGCTCTCTCTATATATTTTTCAGAAATACAATTTGTGATTTATTTTAAATACTGGCAATGCCATAGCAGTTCATTAGAACTATTGGTCCTGTGGTTTAAAGCAGACCTTGGGGGATTCTTTTAATGAATATGCTAGGCTAATTTTAATTAGCATAACAATTGTTTGCAAATGGCACTTGAGGGAGCCCACAAACAATTTGTTCACCAGTATTTTATTAAACCTCCCCTCTGTGATCCTATGGACTTTTTTGTTTGCATTATGAATGAGCAAGAAATAATTTGCTAGGGGAAGGTTATGCATACCAATTTTAACATCTTGAATATTGAAATTGACTGGACCTCCTCCCTGAGTATCAGTGTTGATAGTTCCACTTAAGGAGCTGCGGTAGGGGTCCTCATTTTTGTCTGTCATGGCCAAGAGAGTGGTCTTTGGTATTTGCCTGGTATAGACTTATGGGTGCACCTGACCAAGAAAAATTAATGGGCTTCACTAGATAACAAATGAAGGGTTATCAAAAGAACCGAATGCCTTGGGCAAAGTTTTATTTCCAGAAAAGAATAGTTATGAACTTGAACCTTCCAATCTAGTAATGTAGGCATAGTGGACCCTCAGTACTAACCCCCAAAACCCATCTTGGAGAGGCTCTATCTAAGGCAGGGTGAATAGGCAATTACCATCTGCTGCTCTTCTAGCACAGCCCACCTCTAGCAAACCTTGTTATGTAACACCCACTGTATAGGTGACTGGTGGCCCATTGGACAGCAACAGTTTGATAAGTGATATCCTGGCACTTGGACACTAAGGGCATTCTCATCTATAAGCAATTTCACTCATAGTAATTCCCAAGAGCTTCCTATGGCAAGATTTTTTGTGAGAGCTTCTGTCTTCTCAGTGGGGAGAACTTGGTTGTCCCATTAAATGGAGTGGAAGTAAAAGAGCCTGCTAGGGGGACATCTTCCCTGATTGAGTGGGTTCATGTAATTCATACATGTTACCATTTACAGGAATTACCTTGCCTTGTATTATTCCTGGATCATACGGTCCATCAGGATTCCCAGGAGCTCCCGGATTCCCAGGTATGGAATGAGACCAGAGAAGGCCATTGAGGACACTTTACAGGCCATGAGCCAAAAGAAGCAGAGTCTAGCCCAGTAACATTTGAGGGTCAACAGTTCTCCCTAAGGGCTGCCTTAGGGATTGAGGGAACAGAATGTCTGCTGGAGAGGGTAATGTGAGGAAGCGAGAATAATAGAGGCCCTCCAGGAAACTGGGATTCTTGACTGAACATCACCAATTATATCCAGGAATGTTGACTTCCCTTTCCCCTCACTACTTACATTTGGATTTTTAGGCCCTAAAGGGGCCCGTGGCCTCCCTGGGACTGCAGGTCAGCCTGGATCTCGTGGAAAAAAAGGAGAGCCTGGAAATCCAGGATTAGTTCACCTCCCTGAATTGCCAGGTAAGGAAAAGAGCTTCTCATTTGCTTATCCTTTGTGTCAGTGTGTGTATTCAGATTGTGGCTACCCTTGACCAACAATGGGAAGCTAGGTTTGCTCTCTGGTGTGGTTGGGATGGTTTGATTTCATGCCCAGACAAGATAAACCATAGAGCCATAGGGTGTCAGCATATCAGAGCAATAAGGGCCATTTGAGATCAGTGAACAATCTCTTGACTTTCAGATGAGAAAACTGAGGCCCAGATAGAAAGGACTTGCCAAAATTACAAAAACACTGGTGACAGAGCTAGGACTCTGCCAGGTTGTCTACTATAGCATTTTCCTGGGTCAACTCCTTAAAAGGTCAGAGAAAGATCTAGATCAGTCAGAGGGAAGTTGTCTCTTTCTGTCCCTTTTCTCACACCCTGTTGTTCTGACCTGAGCTTCATGGGGTTATACTGCACAAATGGTTCTCAAACTGTGTTCCCTGGGCCAGCTTCTACATCAACTGGGAACTTGTTAGTGATGCAGATTCTCATACTGTCTGAAAGACCTACTGATCAGAAACTCCAAGGGTGGAACCAACAATCTCTGTGTTACCCCAGGTGATTCTGAACCGCTGCTACTATGGAGCTTGGGGCTCATGTTGGGCCACCTGTCCCAGAGCTTATTGGAAACTTTGGTTCTCTCCATTATCCTCTCTTCACCCAAGAAGAGGGGGATATAACAGCAGGAGTTAAACAACTCCCAAAGAGATTGAGCTTCTACTAGGAGGCCTTGGGTGTTACCTGTGCTTTTCAGTACCTGTCAAGCCCCAGGAAGCAGGTTACTGAGCTCTGTCCATGGCCAACCTTATAAAACTAGAACTTCCTTAAGGTCACTTAGTACACAGTCTCTGCCTCTGCACAAGTCTCCCAGGATTAGAGAGACCCCTGACCTTTATTAATATGTTACCTTTGAGGGAAAAAAAAAACTGTGTCAGAAATATCTACCCCAAAAAAATCACTTCTAAACATCCATGACCTTTAATTTTTGCCTCTCAACACTTAGGATTTCCTGGATCTCGTGGAGAGAAGGGCTTGCCTGGATTTCCTGGGATTCCTGGAAAAGATGGCTTGCCTGGGAAGGCTGGAAGTCCAGGTTTACCAGGTTCCAAGGGAGCCCCTGGTGACATCTTTGGTGCTGAAAACGGTGTTCCAGGGGAGCAAGGCCTACAAGGATTGCCAGGGGACAGAGGATTTCTTGGAGACTCTGGCCTTCCAGGACCCAAGGGTGACTCTTTTTGCCCCTCTTATTTAACCATCTACAGAAAGCTTTACAGTAGCTTGTATACTTGCATGAATATTTACATGAATCTGGGATGATGGGTAATTAGGTGTTTAACATGAAATATCATTTTGTTCTGTCTCTCTTATCTAGGAAATTTCCCCTAAATAGACTAGGTCCATTTTCTTACCTTGATAATTCCAGAAGTGATCATAATGACTAATCAGATTTCTTGCAAAGACTCTAGCTTTCTGCTGGGGAAGGCAACAAGGCTAGAGCTGAGAAGACGGTGGTACCTGCGGCCAAGCACTTCTGCTGGAAGTTGGTTGGGTGATTCAGTCTCTAATATGGCTATGATTATCTGTACCCCTCCTTTTTATTAGGTTTGCATGGAAAGTCTGGCCTGCTAGGCCCCAAAGGTGAGCGGGGCAGCCCTGGAACACCAGGACAAGTGGGAAAGCCAGGCCCCCCAGGGTCTGTTGGTTCATATGGCATCAAGGGCGAATCTGGAGTCCCAGGAGCACCAGGTCTTCCAGGAACTTCAGGTAGGTTCATCAGAGGAAGAACCCTAGCCTGACAGACTTAGGCTCTGGGCAGTGTGATCTGGTCAGAACCTAGAAAGAGACTTGAATTTCCTCAGCTCTTAAGTTTCACATCTCAGGGCTTCCTGGCAGTGCCAAGAAAACCAGATTGCTGAAATTTAACTTCCAAAATATGACAACAAATCACTTCCTGCCCCCTCCCCCATGGCCTGATGCTCCCATTTCATGCTTACGTGGCCTCCTGCCTTCCCTAGTTAGAGAAGCCACCCATGCTGTACAAGTGGGTCTAGTGCATCCTACTGCCTTTTCTGGGGCTGTGGGGAGCTCAGTTTGGGTTGAGGAGGAGCTTGAGCAAAGTATGATTGCCAAAAAGTGGCTTTCACTCAGGGTGGGGCCCTGCACCCCCTGCTTTCAACCTAATGTTTGCAACTTGTCTTTTTTGTGCACTATGTCCTTACACTGTCTCAGTGACCCTATCATCTCCCCTTTGCTCCAGCCCCAGTGACTGAAGTTGAGTTATTTACAGAGCCGTTAATATCCTTTTTATCCCCTTTGTCCTTCTGTGTTTCTGGGTCTTCACATAGGCTGCCTAGGTGAAAAAACATAGCACACAAGCTTACAGACTAAGATCCCCACCAGGGATTTATCTTATTATACACTATAACATGGCCTTGCTTACAGGGCCAAGGATCCCTGATCTCATGCTGTGGGGTTGGCTCCCATTGAATTTCCTTCCCTTGTTGAGGAGTCTCCTTCACAGCCTCCCAATGGAATCCAGGGGCTCCTAGCTACTTGATGTTTTTCATTCCATAGAAAGCTAAGTCAGCCATTCATTTAGGTCCTTGGGGGCCCAAATACCTCTGTCGTCATCGATTTAATCCTTTGGTTTTTTAATTTCCTTGCTTTGTACCTGAACATTCCACTTTGGCAGCAGCTCAGGAGGTTAATCCCATTGACCAACTTAAAGCGTGGTGAAAGACAGCTCAGAATACCTAGGAGATCAAATGGGCCTTGTAGATTTCTACAGTACTTGGCACTAGGGGGTCTTTCAACCCTAATGCCAAGGAACTGGCTGACTTAACTGCTTGCTTGAGGGATTAAAAGGGCAGCCCTGCATCCAGGGCTCCCTGGGAGGCTGAAACAACAGCTCAGCTTTAACCTCTACCTCACCGATTGGCTTAGGAAACAGCAATTGTGGAGCAATTCAGGCTGGAAGTACCCGGGAAACTGGAGCCCAGTTGCCACCCTGACTTCCCAGAGCTCCATTCAGAAGCTAAAGCATGAGCCACATTCATAAAGGGAAAAGTTTAAATCACAAGGAGGTTGTTCCCCCTGCCAGCTATTGTGCCATGTTGGAAGTAATAGCCATTTGGCATGGCACTCTGGGTGGTAGATAGTACTGCTCCAGCCAACTAAGAACTCTAACTGCCTGTTAGCAGCTTGCATATGTCATTGTTAAAGGGCCATTTACAAAACCCAACAAGCCAACCAACCAGAAGCTATGGGAATGGGCAGTGGCCCAGATCTGGCCAGAGCCTTGCTTAACAGCTGTCCTGTGTTCTCTCTTGTGCTGATTCAGGACATCCTGGAAAGAAAGGTCAAAAAGGCGAGAAAGGTTACTCTGGATCAACTAGAAAAAGAGGTTTACCTGGGATAAAAGGCCTTCCTGGATCTCCGGGGCTAACTGGCTTCTTAGGGAGCCCAGGTTTGCCAGGAGTCACTGGATTGCCAGGCCTCCCAGGCCCAAAGGGTAAGTGAAGTGATCAAGAAGGCCAGTGAAGTGACCAGTGAATACTAGTGAGTACCAGCTGCCCAGCTTTGCCCCTTCTCTCTGCCCAGGAATGGGGAACAACAGAAAGGGAGGTGGGTAGGGCTTCTGGTGAAGATAGTTGGACAAGCCTAGTACTAAAGTAAGACTGCCTAAGGTAAGTCATAGACTACTTGCTATGTAACATTGGGCTGAATATCATGGTCCAAAAAGCCCAAGGCAGAGCTGGGGCTGTAGCTCAGTGGTAGAGTACTTGCCTGGCATGTGTGAGGCACTGGATTCCATCCTCAGCACCACATAAAAATTAATTAATTAATTAAATTCAGGTATTATGTCCATGTACAACAAGAAAGAAAGAAAGAAAGAAAGAAAGAAAAAAGAAAGAAAAGCCCATGGCAGTACCAGCCACACTGAAATTGCTCATTTGCACCATCATGGAACCTGATAGCTCTTACTTCCTTTGATTGCCTTGACAGACATCAGTGGTTGGGCATCACTGTTACTGGTTGGGCATCACTGTTTTAAGCATGGGAAAGTGATTCAAAGGCACACAATTTGTTAGCATCAGAGGTAGGCTAGAGCTTCTCTTCCTGCCTCCTGGCCCTAGGACTTTTTTTCTGTGCCACACATAAATTCTAACTTGATGAATTATAAGAACCTCCTGCTTCATTCCTTTGTTTGCTTAGTGCTACATCCCTGTTCAGGGGAGTGAAGTGATGTGTAATGACTAAGAGCTTAGTAATGACTGAGACTTAGAGTTAGAAAAACCTAGGTTTTATTCCCTTCTGTGAAACTTCTTAGCTGTGTGACTCTGGACAAGTAATTCTACCTCTCTAAGCCCCATTGGTTTCCTCATTTGTAGAACAGGGATAATAATAGAAGTTATTGTTTCCCAACAGGTGAGAAGGGGTCCACTGGACTGGTAGGTTTTCCGGGCATTCCGGGTCTCCCTGGTATTCCTGGTGCAAGTGGATTAAAGGGGATTCCTGGGTCAGCCGGAAAAGTGGGAACATCTGGACAGGCTGGGATTCCTGGTGAAAAAGGTGAGTAGAAGAAGTGAATACTGGAACTGCCACCCTTCCCAATGTTCCTTTTGCTTGTTGACTTTGTCACTTCTGTAGCTTATAACAATCCTGTGTTAAATAATAATATTTGGGGCTTCTGAATAAAGTCCTTTAAACCAAAAAACTAATAATCACTTCTGAGTTAACACTGCATAATACAGGCTGTGTTACTGAGATTACCATTACCATACCAATACTGGAGAGAAAACAACTTAATTGAGGAAAGTTTTATTTTAGTTTGTGGATTCAGTGGTTTCTGTTCATGCAGTTGGCCCTATTGCCTTTGGTCATGTAGTGAGGCAGAATATCATGGCAGGGAGCATGTGATGGAGAAAGCTGCTTACTGCATGGTGTCTGGGAAGCAAATGAGAAAGAAGAAAAGGAAAAGACCAGAGTCCCACAATCCCCTGAGGACATTCTCCATAACTTCCTCACACTAGTCCCCACCTCTCCAAGTTTCCACCATCTCCTAGTGCACCAAGCTTTTAAGAAATGAGGTTTATCATTCTGCCTCTAGTCCCCAAAGGCTCCTGATGATCTTGTGGTGCAAAATCAGTCCATCCCCAAGAGTCCCCATTGTCTGTGTTAGTTCTCCATTATTGTAACTCATACCTGAGATAATTTATAACAAGGAAAAGTTTATTTTGACTTAGTTTTAAAAGATTCAGTTCATGGTCATATGGTTGTCTTGTCTTTAGGCCTGTGTTAAGGCAGTACATCATGGTGGCCACGAAGGAAAAAAGAAAGAGGAAGAGGCCTGGGGATATAGCTCAGTTGGTAGACTGCTGGCCTCACATGCACAAGGCCCAATCAATCCCCAGCACAGAAAGAGAGAGAGAGAGAGAGGGAGGGAGGGAGGGAGAGAGAGAGAGAGAGAGAGAGAGAGAGAGAGAGAGAGAGAGAGACCAGAGTTCCAGAGTTCCATAGCCCCTTTGGAGGGCATGCCCACAAAGACTTAATTTCCACCCACTAGGCCCTACTCTCAAAGGCTACACCACCTCAAAGGCTATACCACCTCCCAATGCACCACAGGCTGCATACATGGGGCCCTTGGGGGATATTTATCCAAACCATAACAAAGGCTACATCCATACATCTCCCAGATGATCCTTGGAGAAGAGTTTTCCTATGGGTCTAAAGTTACTGATCAATTTTGGGTTTGTAGAAGGAGATTTACATACACAAAAATGCAAATTTGGGGAAATGGGAGTGGAGAAGAGGATGAAAATGGCCCATAAATAAGTCTGGGGGTAGCATGGAAAGAAATGATATGAAAGCTCTACCTTTGTCTGAGTCTGTATCTAATCTCTCTCACACACTACCTAATGTTCATCTTTGCAGGAGACAGAGGCGATCCGGGTCCAGTTGGAGTACCCAGTCCAAGACCTCCAATGCTGAACCTATGGTTCAAAGGAGACAAAGGCTCTCAGGGCTCAGCTGGATCAAATGGATTTCCTGGGCCCAGAGGTGCTGAGACAGGGAATGGTTGCAAGAAATGTCCAAGAAAGAGTTTACAACCAGACTTAGCTTCCTTCTTGAGAAAAGGCCCCACAGTGCAGTGGTGTGGGTGGCAGCCAGGGGTCCAAGAAGGCTGACTTCTCTGTGCCTGATGGTTGCCTGGACTTTTTAAGACTTTAATTTACATTTACCACTGTGGAACTAAGGCTTTGAATCACAGTCTGTAAAATCCCTGGAAGAGCCTGGCAGATAGTGGGGCATGGGCACTGAACTACTTGCCCTTGACTGGAGTCTCATCATGCCCCATAAGACTAAAAGTCACACCTCCCCTCCCCAAACCAATACCCTTCCTCCTGCCTGTGTCTCAGGGCGTCTGGATGAGCTGGTTTTCTCTTATCCAGAGTATTTTGCCAAGTCCTTCTATTTCTTTCCCAGGTGACAAAGGTGAGGCTGGCCGTCCAGGGTCACCAGGCCTGCCTGGAGCTCCTGGTTTCCCCAGCACTATCAAAGGACTTACTGGGATGCCAGGCCCACCTGGATCCATGGGCCTACGGGGCTTACCTGGCCTGAAAGGGTCCCCAGGGATCACAGGTTTCCCAGGAATGCCAGGAGAAAGTGTAAGTGTGCCCAGATCTTTGTCTTTCCACCAAAGAAGGGCCTGTATATAGAGGGACATGCCCTCAGTGCCCACCTTACTGATCTCAGCCCACTTTCCAACCCCTTCCCCTAAGACATCCTCAAATAAAACCCTCTCCTTGTGTCTGACAGATTTTTCTCACCCTTTCTGAACATCCCCACCACTGTGTCTTTGCTCACATTATCTCCTCCATATGGCAGAGCCTCCTCCCTCTTCTGCATTTGCCAATACCTGCCTGCCCCTTAGGCCCCAGCCCAGCACTATCTCTGTATGAGTCTCTGAGCTCCTGCTGTGCTGGCACTCTTCACTTCTCACTGCTTACATTGATCTAGTTGGTTCTGTGGGGGATCTGACTTCCTCAATCAGATTTCCAGGGCTTGTGAACAAGAACAACCTTACATGCTTTTCTTTTCTGCACCCCACTGCCAGCATCCCATGTTGAGTCAGGCACATTGTAAGAATTCAGTACAGACTTCTTGATGTTTTGATAGAAAGGTCTTTGAAGCTCCATAAGGGGCAACAACTAGCAAAAAATTTAAGCCTGGTTTCTCTGGACTCTTAAAAGTCAGAGTAGAGTAAGCTTAGCTGTGAGACAGACTAGAGTTTGGATCTTGCCTCCATCACTTATTAGCTCTGTAATCTTGTGCACATTGCTTAATTTCCCTGAAACTCCTTTTCCTCCTCTGTAGAAAAAGAGAATAATATTCAAATCTCTTTCAGAAAATAATGAGGATTAAGTGAGATGCTACATGTAAAGTACTTAACATTATGTCAGACACATGGCAGGCTCTGCACAAATAGCAATATCCAGGGTCAAAATGAACTGGACACAATACCTGTGCTCCCTTCAGGTGAAGTCTCTGTCCTTTAAAAGTGTCCATCCATCTGGTAGAGAAAATTCAGACATACCTGAATGTATACACATACAAAAAAAATAGTTCTAAAATGAATAGTCCTGACTACTCACATAATGAGGAGGGATGAAAATAAAGTGGGAAGCCATTTTGGATGGGGCCCCACTGTGAGCAGAGGCTCATAATTTGGAGTAACTATGGCAGTGTGCCAGATGAGACCAGGTAAGGAAACAGGCAGAATGAAGGGGTGTCCTGGATGATGGTTTGGTGGGCACAGTGACACAATGCAGTACTGAACTTTCTGCCCAAAACACTGTGATATGTCTTTACTGGGTACATATCCAAATGAATCAAAGCCATATTAGGTACCAGTAGAAGAACTCTGCTGATAGCAGCTGATGTGCCCACTTCCCAGACTCAGTCTGTTAGACATTAGCCAGTGAAGGCAGCTTTTCCTGTGAAAATGGTAATATTTATCAAATTCACACTCCAGCACCTGCACACAAACAGCCTGTTACCTAGTGTCAGAAACACCTCATTTCTTGTGGAGCCTGTGGCAAAGGACTAGCCCTATGTGGTGAAGCAACACTTGTCTTTATGCGTCATAGTTCTAGAATTTTGACCAGAGTGCTGGTACCTGGATTGTTGTGTTCTGTATTTTCTTTCTTTTCTTTTTTGTACTGGGGATTGAATCCAAGCGCACTTTACCACTGAGCTATATCCCCAGTCCTTTTATGTTTTTCTTTTGGGACAGGGTTTTCTATAATGCTTAAGGACTATCTAAGTTGCTGAGGCTGGCCTGGAAATTGTGATCCTCCTACCTCAGCCTTCGGAGTCACAGGAATCACAGGCATGCACCACCAGGCCTAGCATGTTCTGTATATTCTAAGAGACTTGCTAGAGCAGCCACACATTGATTTGCCAACATTTCAATTTTGATAAGCAATGAGGAATTATGAATGACAAGGATTAATCTTCAGATAGTATCCTGCCCCTAATAACCCTAAGTATGTGCCTTGACCCCTGGCTTTTCACCTTCCTATTTATAGAATATACATCAGTCTATCCTGACTGTGTATAATAGACATCTCTCAAGCAATGGCTTAGGGAGCAGAGGGGGAATAAAATGATGGGGAGCCCTGAGCTCTGGGCAGAAATGATGGTTCCTGTATTGCTTTGAAGGGTTCACAAGGTCTCATTGGGGCTCCTGGACTCCCAGGAGCATTTGGTCTCCCAGGCTCAAAAGGTAAGGAACATTTTCTCTTTTAATGTTTCTCTATAAGAGGGTGAATTTCTAGCAGGCCCAGAGCTGCCTTGGGAGTAGACTCAGTGTTTATGGGGAAATGAATTGGCCAAACCCCATCTATAGTTCTATATGCAACAAAAAACATGGTACCTACCAAGATCTCCAGGACTTTCATGGTGCCAAGAGAAGGGTGTCCTTTGGCTTTAGAGTTTGGCTCATCTGCCTTCCAGACTCAGCAGCAGGGGAGAACCTCAGCTCCTGTCTCTTCCCCTGATGAACTGAGTCTGTTGAGCAGGAAAATTTCCCATCCTTGCTGGTAATACTGTTCCATTCTGGCGATGATTTAGGGCCCCATCTATCATCATCTCTGCTTATACTGAGCCTAGCGATATATTTCCCAATGGAGATTTGCTGCATGTAACAGCATTTCATGCCAGTAGCCTGGTAGCACCCCACATCCTGAGTTGTAATTGATTAGTCACCTTTTACCCAATAGATAATTTTGTCAAAGAGCTCCTTTGGTTATCTTGAATATGAAAAAGAATATGTTAAGAAGATCTCTTTAGTGCAGAATGACTTATAGTTTCTCCTGATCGTTTGAATAATGTCTTGATATCACCAGGAGATCAGGGCCAGACATTTGAAATTTCTGGTATCCCAGGACCCAAGGGCCAGCCTGGTGAATCAGGTTTTAAAGGTAAGGTTGCTATATTTTTGTCTCATGTGCCTCACAGACTCTTTGAAACTGAGAATTAGAAGGAATTTTGGACACGAACCCCAAGTTCTCCAACTTCCATCCAGTGCAGAATACATTCCTCAAGCAAAATAGCCTACTCTTTAAGTTGAAAAGGCTAGCAAAGACCTTTAGGATAATAGCATCCCTCCCTTAATGTATAGATTGTTATTTAAACTGTGTTTCTCTGACATTTCAATCTATTGCTTCCTTTTCTGGAAGGTGCCCCGAACAAGTCTACATAACTCTCAATCAGTTGGTATTTTCCAAATGTGAAGATAGCCACCACTGTACTTTTTAGAGATTTTGTTTGTTTCTTTCATTGTTTTAGTTTGTTTTGTTTGTGGTGTTTGGTTTGGAACTCAGGGCCTCACGCATGCTAGGCAAGTGTTCTACCACTGAGCTACACACCCAGTCCCAAGAGATTCTTCATAGGATCAGATCCCTTCAGAAGTTCAGAATGGTTTTACTTTCCTGTTCATCCTTTCCTACAGAAGAACACACTGCTACAAATGTGATCTTACTACTCAGCAATTGTGTTGATTTCATAGGTGTGAAAGGAAAAGGTGGACTGGTTGGTGATATAGGTTTTCCTGGAAACAAGGGTGATCATGGAAAAGTTGGTATTCCTGGAGATGTTGGTCTTCCTGGCTCCCCAGGTACCATGCCACATGACAACCTTATTCTGAAAAAGTTAAGAATAACTTCAAGCCATGCCCCATCCTGAACTTCTGCCTTTGTTTCACATTTAGGACTTCCAGGGATTGCAGGTATGAGAGGAGACCCAGGACTTCCAGGTTCCTCTGGTCATCCAGGGACAACTGGGCTTCCAGGACCCTCTGGCTTAATAGGACCTAAAGGTATGTGTATTTGAGAGAAGGAAGTGGAGAAAAGTATCCTTACCTCCATAAAGGACAACTACTACTTTATCTAAGAAGATAGTAGCTAGGAGCTAGCAGCTAGGGGTAAGCCATCCCCAAGGGAATCACTGACTGGGCCCATAAGGAATAATGGAAAAGAAGAATGAAAAGGAAAGAAAGTCGGCAAGCTGAGAATGGTGGCGCATGCCTTTAATCCCAGCAGCTAGGGAGGCTGAGGCAGGAGGATCATGAATATAAAGCCAGCCTCAGCAACAGTTAGGCACTAAGCAACTCAGTGAGACCCTGTCTCTAAATAAAATACAAAATAGGGCTGGGGATGTAGCTCAGTGGTTGAGTGCCGCTGAGTTCAATCCCTGCTAGCCACCCCCAAACAAGTGGGAAAGCATGAAGGGGAAAAGAACATGGGCTTCACAGAGAAGAATTAGCAAGTAAGGCATTAGTTGCCCCTAACTGTAATGCAATCCCTGAGTTTGGGTACTTTCGAAGAAAAGTTTATTTAGCTTACAATTTTGAGGTTGAAAGTCCAAACAGCATGGCACTGGATCTGGTGAGGATACCCTCCTACCCCTATACTATTATATCATTTGGGATGATATAATAGTAGAGGATATGCAAGAGGGAGAGATAATATGGCAAGACAGGAAGTCAGAGCTCTTTAGTAACAATTCACTCTCACAAGAACTAAAACAGGGTCCCATGAGGAATACCTTAATCTCTGTTGAGGGCAGTATTCTCAAAGACCCGATGAACTACCACTAAGGCTCACTTCTTAAATGTCTCAACACTCCTTACATTGCCACACTGAGAACCAATCTTCCAATACATGAAACCATATCCAAGCCATAACAGAAATTGGTTGCCCAGGAAATGTTGCCATTCCTTGACTTAGAGATTGGGCAGTGAATCTCTGGGAGCTGAAAACCAAAGGTTTTTTATTACCACTTATGTTCTTGAAGATGTCTAATTAGTTATCATCCTACTCTTAAAGCCATATTTGTCTCTGATAGGAGTCATGAGAATCTAGGGTACATGGTGAAATTTAGGTGTGAGCTTTAAGGCATTAATGCCCTTAAGGAAAACCGGGACTTTAATGTGAAGACCTTAAAGTGGCTTTGTGGGTAGGTGGAAAATTGTTGCCATTTCTGATGTTCTTTCTTATCAGGATTGCCTGGACCTCTTGGTTTACATGGCCTAAATGGGCTTCCAGGCACCAAGGGGACCCATGGAACTCCAGGTAAGGAAGACCCTCAATGGCAAGGAGGAAGATACCGGCTCTTTCTAAAACCTGGTAGGGACTAGCCCTTGACTGTGGTCTATTTCATATACTTGGGCTTACAGATCTCTTCACCAGACATCAGTTTATGGTTCCTTAATGTAAGGGGGGAAAAGGATAGGGCTTATCTTTCTGCCTGAATGAGATCGTTTCTCCAGAGCATAGACAAGTGGGCTAGACAGGAGGGCCTTATCCCTGCTGAGTCTGTCTCCTCCCTCTGTCTCTCTTCCTAGGAGCCAGTATTACTGGTGTGCCTGGGCCTGCTGGCCTTCCTGGTCCCAAAGGGGAAAAAGGAACACCAGGAATTGTCATTGGAGCTCCAGGGAAACCAGGCCCAAGAGGACAAAAAGGTGGCAGAGGTAAATGAGCTCATGTCAGGCCTTATAGAAGCTGAGGGAGGACTTGTCGGGATGGGGGTCCAGGTTTGGGGTTCATCAGAGCCATATGGACTGCAGGGTTGATTTGTTCATGTCTTCAATATCTATGGGAGTCTCAGAACCCCATGGGGGCTGCTGAGAAAGGAAGGACAGGCTGTGCCTGTGGCTTTCCAGTGAATGGGTGTCAGGGAACAGTTACCAAGTCCCCTCTAGTCTCCAGGTTCCCTTTCACTCTTCCTTATTCACCTTAAAGCCTCTCTTGGTCAGAGCCTGGCTCAGTGGTCCTACAGGATAGTGCTTGTCCACTTAGTGAGAGACTGGCCAGAATTTCCTCAGTGTCCAGTATGCATGGGACTTCCAGGATTTAGGGAAGACATCATGGTACCAGAAAAAGCCCAAGGCTAAGAATAAGTATCTTCCAAGGACAAGCCCACAACATGCACTAAATTAGTATTTGTTGGGTTTACTGGAAATCAGATACCACTTGATCTCACTCCCTCACTCAACAGATTGTCTGAATTCTATTTCAGAGCCTCCCTTTCCCCAAAGAAAGAAATGAGTTCTCATTGATCCCACTCACTGTAAAACAGAAAATGAATTCAGTTTAGCATCATGGCTAAGAGTATGGGCTCTGATGTCAGACCAGTGGGATTCTGATTTCAGGTCTCTCACTAGCTATATGACCTTGAAGAATGAAGTTCCTTGTCCCTCAATCCCAAATGAGCCCTTACTTGTTTGTTTCCGTAAAATGGATATAATAAAAGTCTGTGCATGGTGGTGCAGCCTATAATTCTAGTGGCTCAGGAGGCTGAGGCAGAAGGATGGTGAGTTCAAAGCCAGCCTCAGCAACTGCGAGGCGCTAAGCAACTCAGTGAGACCCTGTCTCTAAATAAAATACAAAATAGGGCTGGGAATGTGGCTCAGTGGTCAAGTGCCCATAAGTGTAATCCCAGGTACCCCCGCTCCCACCGAAAATGGATGTAATAACAAAATCTGCCTCACAGGTTTTGTGAGGAATCAGTGCTGGTCATTATATTATTGCATGTTACCTAGGGAAATAATATTTGCAAAATGTTCTGTTCCTCATAGCTCTGGGGCCTGGAGTCTCATTGCACTTAGTTTATGTTTATGTTCGCATAATGTTCATATGTTTCCCAGAAACTGTATTCATAAATTAATTCATTTTCTGCTGCGTTTTGAATTGGTGCATCTGCTGTTTCTGTGTTTACTCTATCCTTTGGTCTGGACCATCCTGTTCTTTTCTGAAAGCCAGCAGCTTTCGAGAGGAAGGGCTCAAAGCAGGGCCTGAGTCTACAGAGACACAGTGGCTTCTTTCACAAGACATAGAGAACAGGGGATCAGATAAAAGCACAGGGCATTTTCTTTTCTGTTTGCAAATGTTGACTGGGAATGGTCATTAATTCATTTCATTTAGCTGAGGTAATAAGACCACAATTACACAGTAAACAACACATGTCAAGATGGATACATTTCAGGAACATAATGTTGGGGGGGGGAAAGCATGTCACAAAGGGATATATTTGGTATGGTTCCATTGATAAATGTTCAAAAAGAAGCAAAATAACCAATATATTGTTGAGGGATGCAAATATTCATGGTCAAACTATGATAAAAAGTGAGGGAATGAAGAACACAAAATTCAGGAGTGGTTGCCTCAGAGAGGGAGAGAAGGGGTAGAATCTATGGCAGGTGCACAAGAAAGTCCAAAGGTAATGTTATCTTATTTTTCCCCAAATAGGGTAGTTGGAACACAGGTGTTTTCATTGTACCTGGATTATTATTTACATATTATTGATCAATAATTCATCAATATTGATCAATATTGTATCCTCTCAATATCTAATTAAAATAACAATGCAGCATGTATCATACCCCCACCATAGGAACCTGTGATTTGATAATGGAAGTCAGTGTAAAATAAGGTTTTACCTCTGAGAAAACTCCATAGAACATTTCTTGTCCTTACGTTTAGTTAAAAAATTTTCAATTGCACTGTTGTTTTCATATTTTCATTAAATATTTAGAGACTGCCATAACATAATTAGTTTTTTAGGACTTTTGACACTGGAATGACTTGGAAAAATAGACTATTTTGCATTTAGGCCTGCTTAGTAGAAGTGTTTTATTCTTAATCAAATAAATAGATGAATTTTTATACTACTTGAAGTAAGCAGTGCCTTTATTTCAGATTTTATTATATATTGCTATAATTATAAATCAAGAAATAGGTAAAGGACAGAGGAGGCTTCAAAAACTGGCATGTGAAGCCAGGTGTGGTGGCACATGCCTATAATCCCAGGGAACTCAGGAGGAAGGATGAGGCAGGAGGATAAAAGGTTTGAGGCCAGCCTCAGCAACTTAGTGAGACTCTGTCTCAAAATAAAAAGGGTTGGGGATGTAGCTTTGTGGTAGAGCACCTCTGGGTTCAGTCCCCAGTACTGCAAAAAAAAAAAAAAAAAAAGTAAAAAATTATCTAGGAAGGGAATTTTAATAATCTTTGGGCTAACACACTGACTCTATTATATGTGGTTATGTAGTGTCATATTAATGTTGCATAATTTCAGCTGATATAAATATACAAGCCCTGTATATACATGTATATTCATGCATTTAATTATATACATGCATTTGAATATTCATTGAAATATCTTCTAGTATATGCCAGAATAATACATTTCAGAAAAATATACAATGTGTCTTTCTTTTCAGATCTTTACCTCCATGAAAAAGAAAAATACTTCAAAGGGTCACCAAGGCATAACTGACAATGCTACCAGTAGCACCGCATAGTTTTGCAGATAGTTTTTCTTTTTTCCATTTTGTTTTTGCTTTTTCTTTCCTAGACATTGAATCTTTTCTCAAAATTTATATTTTTTTATCTTTAGATTTCTTCATGATTTAATCAATTAATGTGCTAATTTTAAACATCTGAATTAACTCATCTGCCATCTTTCTTTACAAGTTTACTTGTCATTTTAGATGGATATAAGATGATGGGAAAGTTAACATTAATATTGCTGGATTTTCTTGTCATCAAACAAACAAATGAATTGCAACCACCAGAAGTTTATCAATCAGTTTCTCTTCATTTGAATATCTTCTAGAATATGCCAAAGTAAAACATTTCTTCAGTGCTACATGTATAAAATTAACATCTACATATGTATACGTGTGTTTTCCCATTGAGATTACCATCTATGTATTTGACATGTTAATATTAAATAAATTTTTTAATAAATGAAAGTTTTGATTTTGAAAATGTAGCAGAAATTGTTCCCAAAACAGAAAACATGTTCAACTTTATTAAAATCTAAGCAAAAAACTATTGTATATGTATTCTAATAAATGACTATTCTCTTTGACCAAAAAGGGAGAAGATATTAGTACAGAGAAATTTGTTCTATAAGCAATGGCACAAACGTTCAGCTAATATTATGAATTACCTATAAAAGATTGCTTTCCAGTTTACCTAAAGATAGCTGAGAAGCCTGGAAGACACAGCAATGTGCAGCGCTCTTGCCACCTCCATTCTGACTGCCTGGGGCCTGAGGCTTATGTCCATAACCTTTGTACAGGATCAGACATAACTGGCTAACTTATTAAATATTGTTTGATGGGGAGAGGAGGTTTAAGAACATGTGAAAAACTTAAACTCCAGCTGCTCAGGCATGCCTTCTTTTATTTCTGATTTGGAGGAAATCAGCCTAAAATATTTCTCTCAACAGTGAAATTGAGGAGCTAGAATTTTCCACAGCTCTGTCCTAATAAAATTAAGCTGCAGCTGAAAAGGGGGATTCTAAGCCCTTCTCACTTTTGTCTGCTTGCTGGGAAGATAAGGTGAGGGGAGAAGAGCCCTCTGCTGGCAGTGTCTGGTCTGGCTTCTATCTAAGCACTTCCATTTTCTCTGTGTGCACTTCCATTTTCTCTGAGACAACCTGGCCCTCTCCTGGGCACACAAAGCCCACCCAGCTCCCACCCAGCCCTGTTTATTTATTCTTTGCAGGTTTCCCAGGTCTCCAAGGCCCTGCTGGTTTCCCTGGTGCCCCAGGCATCTCCTTGCCCTCAGTCATGACAGGACAGCCTGGTGACCCTGGACCACCAGGCCTAGATGGAGAACGAGGTAAAAACAAGAAGCTCCTAAGAGGACCAGCTGCCCCATTTTGTCTAGTGTTTGGGAGGATCCCGTGCAGCTCTGGGCCTGTTGCTAGACATGCATGGGTCTGCTTGGCCTTACATCCCTCCCCTTAGCCAGGGCATTGGGGTTTGAACTGTCTGTATTTTGCTCCAAGGGTTTGGGAATGTCTGGGCCCTGGGACTCCACAAATGCCAAAGAAACATCCTCTGTCCTTCAAATGGGCTTTAACTTCTTGTCAGTCTGTATACCTTCAGCAGTGACTCCTTACTGCTCACTCACCTCTCATCCATCTTCCAATCTTATCCCTAGGTCGCCCAGGCCCTCATGGGCCCCCAGGCCCCTCTGGGCCATCGTCGGATCAAGGTGACCCTGGAGACCCTGGCTTCCCTGGAATTTCTGGCCTTCTTGGGCCCAAGGGACACCAAGGAATTTCAGGTTTCCCTGGGCTCCCTGGAGAACTAGGACTGAAAGGTATGGCTGTTTGGCCGGCTGCTGAGCCCCTCCCCACTTAGCAGTTAAAAAGAGTTCCTTGCTGCAGCCCTGAGAAGGGAGGCTGATAATGCTTCTCCCCGCCACACCCCTGCCCAGTCTCCACTCCACCATCACTGTCATGGCAGGTCTGATTTTCTCTCCTTTACACTTTGCCAGGCATGAGAGGTGAGCCTGGCTTCATGGGGACTCCAGGCAAGATTGGGCCACCTGGAGATCCAGGATTCCCTGGGATAAAGGGGAAGGCAGGGCCAAGAGGTGAGTTGAGAGCATATGTTGTGTTGAACCTAAGCTCAAAGTAGAAAGGTAAGGTTTGGGGTAAAGTTCCATCAGGGGTCACTGCTGGCCATKCCAGGAAGTCCTGGAGGCCTAAAGTAGCTGGATCAAGCCCCACCCCAGGAGGTCGTTTCTGCACATTGGGGAAAAACTCTGCCTCCATCTGTTCCCAGGACTGAAGGTCACTGCTGCTTTGCCACCACAGATCCTACCCCTGACCTCCTCTTCCTTCATTATTTCTTCATGGGTGGGCACTGGGATCCATTCAGATCAATACCCATTCATTTGCTCAATCTAGAAATTAGGAACTTTTCTCTCTATTCTTTTCCAGCCCCACCATAACTTCCACACATTCCATCCATTAGCAAGTCCTGAAGAGTGTATCTGTTAAATGTGCTTTGCATCTGATCACTTGCTACCCCAAGTTTCAAGCCACCAACGTTTCTCAATCAGCACCCTTCCTCCCCACCCCCAACTATCATTTTTTCACATAGTAGCCAATAAAAATCTTCCAGCAGCTTCCCATATCATAGAAATAATTTAATAGCCCACAAAGCCCTATGTGATACCTCCCTTTTCATTCTCATGCCAGTCCTCTCCCTTCACTGCGCCTGTGTTTCTGCCACACTGAAACAGTTAACCTCTTTCAGGTATCCAAAAACACCAGACCTGATCTGCCACAGGGCCTTTGCCTAGTTCTTTGCACTAGTTCTACTTCCAAAACTGCTTTTGTCCCTCTACTCTTCAAATTACTGAATCCTTTCAATACTTTAATGTTCCTACTTGTCACAGACCACTGGTTGCTCTCTCAAATTGCTGCACACCATACCACCCTGTGCTCCTTCCCACTGTCACTGCCTTATTTGTTGCCTTCATAGCTCTTCTCATGACTTGCCTAAAGATTAAGGACATTTGTCAAATTGTGCATTGTGCATCTTTAATCACTAGACTATTATCTCCATAAAGGTCTATCTCATTCATTGCTCTCTTCCCAGATCTTGCAAGTCCCTGGCACGTAGTAAGCACCCAAGAAGTACTTGTTCAATGAATTGCTAAGCAGATCACTAGTAAGGTAGCTGGCTGGGGTGAGGATCCTAGGCAGTGAACCTCTGGGGTTGAATTCATCCCCTCAGTTGCTATATCCCTGAGCTAAGGCACAAAAATGAGTATAACCTAGTCCTTTCCCTCAAGGAGCTACCAAGGCACTGGGTGATAGATGGGTAAAGAGGACACTGTGCAAAGGGTGGTGAGAGCCATTCTTGTACTTAGTGGGGACTGTGAGGACAGACAGGGCAGAAAGGAAATCTGCTGAAGCCAGCCTGTCCTCCTTTTCCTCAACCTGACAATGCTGTTACCCCCACCTGCCCACAGGCTTCTCCGGTCCCCAAGGTGCTCCTGGACAAACACCCATTGCAGAAGCTGTCCAAGTTCCGCCTGGACCCTTGGGTCTTCCAGGCATTGATGGCATCCCTGGTCTCCCAGGGGACCCTGGCATTCAAGGCCCTGTTGGTCTTCAAGGTAAGAATGGCACCAGAGAAAGGGGACTTCTTAGGAAGCTGAAATGGCCTTGACTAAGGACTGAAGCAGCTGGCTTGTAACTCCAGCTCCAAGGGAGCACCTTCATCAGCCTTTTGCTTTGCTTCTTTACAAGGTTCCATGCTTCTTGCCAAGGAGGGGAAAGGCCAGCAAAGTCAACAGGGTAGTGATTGTATCTGACTTTGGAGAATGTGCGAGCACAACACAGCCACTCTTCCAAACAGCTTGTCCCTCTCTAAAGTGCTGATGAGACATGGAGGGACTGTTGTGGTGCATAAAGGGCAGCATGAGGCATTGGAGAAAGCTCAGGGCTTGGGGACAGAAAACTTGGCTTCTCAAACCCAGCTTGGACCCAACTAGAGCAAGTTAGCAGTCTCCTGGGCCTCAGTGTCCACACTTTTGCTATGGGATGCTGGCAGTTGCCCTGCAGACTTCTTAGCATTGCTGGTAGGATGACAGGAAGGGAGTGTGTGGAGGGCCTCAGAAAAGCTAAGTGGAAAGTATGGTGTCAGGGCAGAGCTGACCCTTTGAACTAACAACTAGCCCAGGCAGGCTTTGGCTCTAACACTCAGTGTGCGTACCAAGCTGTCAGTCAGTAAATCTTTAGCATGACACGATTCCCCTTTCCCTAGGGAGGGCACCACTGGATGCTCTACATTGAGCACCACCACTGTTCCTGTTTTAGTCAGCTTTTTTTCTGCTGTGACTAACCCCACCAGCACAATTGTGGAGGAGAAAAGGTTTATTCAAGGGCTCACAATTTCAGAGGTCTCCATCCATAGACAGCAAGCTTCATTCCTTGGGACTCTAGGTGAGGCTGAACATCATGGCAGAGTGTGTGGCAGAGGGAAGCAGCTTACATGGTGATAAGAAAGCAGAGAGAGAGAGACCTCCACTGGCCAGATACAAATATATACCCCAAAGCTACACCCCAATTTGCACCTCCTCCAGCCACACCCTACCACTTCAGTTACCACTCAGTTAATCCCATTCAGTGATTGGGTTAAGACTCTCACAGTCAAATCATTCTCCTCTGAACCTCCTTGCATTGTCTCACATGTAAGCTTTGGGGTGAAACCTCTCATCCAAACCATAACAGACCCCATGGGCTTTCTCTCCTGCAGGCTTCAAAGGTTTACCTGGCATTCCTGGCAAAGATGGGCCCAGCGGGCTTCCAGGCCCACCGGGGGCCCTTGGTGATCCTGGTCTCCCTGGACTGCAAGGCCCTCCAGGATTTGAAGGTCTGACGATGTCACACCAGGGAGCAGAGGGTTTCTGAGGGTTTGAGGCTTGAGGATGAGTCAGAGACTCAAATCTAAGACTTATTCAGTTGATGGTGAAGTTTGACTCTACCACAAAGCTCAAAGCTGTGCTGTTGCTCATTCACACCAACCACCCCATGAGCCTGTGAGGGGGAGCCCTACATTGCAGAAGGTGAAGAATTGATCCAAATCCTCTTCTGGGTTCGCTTCCAGATCTTCAGCCACAGGACTCTATACCACAACATGGTCCCCTGCCCTGTACCTCCCCTTTTCTGCCTGGAAAAGGGGTGGTTCAAGGGATAACATTTAAGGAGGGGGTGGTTCAAGGGATAACATTTAAGATGAGGAATGTCCGTCCATACCTTTACTACTTACCTTCCATTTTATATCAAGGATTGCAAATCAATGTTCTGATTAGAGAACATTTCTGAGTCTGAGTGAGAATCTTATTGGAATCCATTAGCCAAATCCACCATGGGCAGGAAAGGAGGGCAGGGTTCAACACTGCTTTTAATGCCTCTGATTCAGCAGCTACATATTTATCTTTTTTTTTTTTTGAATGGGATTGAACCCAGGGGCACTCAACCACTGAGCTACATCTCTAGCCCTTTTTACTTTTTGTTTTGAGACAAGGTCTTGCTAAGTTCCTTAGGGCCTAAGTTGCAGACACTGGCTTTGAACTTGCAATCCTCCTGCCTCAGCCTCCCGAGCATCCCAAGCTGCCAAGAATACGGGCATGTGCCACCATAAACTGGCAAAGCTTTTTTTGTTGGTACTGGGGCCTGAACACTGAGCTTCAAGCATGCTAGGCAAGTGTTCTACTGCCAAGCTATATCCTAGCCATAGTTATCTCTTACGAAGTTCTTCAAGGCTGGGCCCAAGAATGATCACACACTACCCTCTCATCCCCACTCATAGGGAGCTCAAGGATAGGTAGCTGGGAGGTATACTTTATAGCCAGGTACATCTGAATTAGAGTTCTGACTTTATCACTTACTAATTGTGGAAGCTTTGAACCTCAGACTCCTCATCTACAAATTGGGCTAATAATAGCACCCTATCCTAGGGTGGTTGTGTGGATCAAGTGAGATGACCCACATATATAATATGCCTTGCACAATGTGCGGCACCAAGTGAGTAGCTGATGTCATCATTGGCTACACCACGCTTCCCTTTTCTACTCTCTCCCTCTCAGGAGCTCCAGGGAAGCAAGGCACCTTTGGGAGGCCTGGAATACCCGGGCACAGCGTGAGAGTGGGCTACACATTGGTGAAGCACAGCCAGTCGGAACAGGTTCCCCTGTGCCCCACTGGGATGAGCCAACTGTGGGTGGGTTACAGCTTGCTGTTCGTGGAGGGGCAGGAGAAAGCCCACAATCAGGACCTTGGTAAGTACTGGCTCTGAAAGCTAACCCTAGCCACCTGTCAACATGATGACCAACAGCTAATCTCTCTTTTCCAATCCCTTTGGGTCCACTGTTGTGTAGCAGGTTATAAGCACCAGCTCTGGAGTCAAGTGAATTGGGGTTCAAATGCTGACCCCACCATTTACTAGCAATGCACCCTGGATGAGTTATTCAACTTCTCTAAGCTTCTACTTCATCCTTAATGGAACAAAGCTAATTCTACTACCTCCACATAGGGAAGCGTAAGGAGCACATGAATCACCCAATATAAAACACTTTGTATAGTGTTTGGCATTTAAGCTTCCATTAAGTATCAGTGATTACCAGTAACAATAACATGGCCTGCAGGACAATGATGATTACCCAAGAATTAATTGCATTATCTGTAGGTGTGCTAACTCTTAAATGTGGAGTCAGTCTAGTAAATGCTGGTTTTATAAAGCAGATTAATTAGGGAGCAATTATTCAATTTATAAGATAATTCTCATCATTATCAAAGTTCCCTGGTGCATTTACATATGGACAGTGTCACAGGACTGTCAGGAGAGAGCTGCTGTGGTCTGGTAAAGCATTTGGATGTAAACTCAAACCATCATCTAGTTCAATCCTGGTGGTGCTGCCCCTTAGCCAGACCTTACCTGTCCTTGCCCACCTTCTCCTCCCAGGTTTTGCTGGCTCCTGCCTGCCTCGCTTCAGCACCATGCCCTTCATCTACTGCAACATCAATGAAGTGTGTCACTATGCTAGGCGCAATGATAAATCCTACTGGCTCTCTACCACTGCCCCCATTCCCATGATGCCTGTTGGCCAGACCCAGATTCCCCAGTACATCAGCCGCTGCTCTGTGTGTGAGGCTCCTTCTCAAGCCATTGCCGTGCACAGCCAGGACATCACCATCCCACAGTGTCCCCTGGGCTGGCGCAGCCTCTGGATTGGGTACTCATTCCTCATGGTAAGGCCCTGAACTGCCCCTCCCCCCAGCAGAGGGCTGGAAGCCTTGGGATTGCCCCTCAATATGGGTTTCCAGGCTCAAGGAACACTGGGTAGAAAGCAGAGCTTGAAAAGAAGAGAAATGCTTGACCTGGGCTTGGCTAATCACCAGAGATCTCAGTTCTGCATATAGTTCTGGATGTGGGGGAAGATGGCAGTCTGTACACCATGTTTCAGGATGGAAACAAATATGAATTCCAGGCTAAGGCCCTATCATTTCTATGCTTGCTTTAGTTATGCCACCACCAAGGAAAGGACAAAGCACACTAAAATCTGAGGGGACAGTGAGGGAGAGGCTAGCCCCACTCAGGGCCAGGTCATACTCTCCCTGGACTGTCTGAGCATGGCATGCCTACTCTTGTCTCACCCTCCAAGACCCATTCTGGCCACTGCTATTTCCTCCTGAAAGGCTCAGATGAGGACATGATGTATTTATATGCCCTCACTGGCATTTTTAGTGCCTCTTCATTTGGGGGAGAAGGCAGTGGCCAGCTATGTTATGTTTGTTGATAAGAAAGAGAACAGATATAAGCCCAAGGAGGCATCAAGTCACTCACCCAATATTCCATGAACATATGGGGATGTTTCATCTAATGAAAAGTCAAGTTAAGGGCCAGGACAACCCCTGTGGAAATCAGTGTGGCACCCACTGAAATACCCTGCCTTGCCAGAGCTCCTCTGTTTAATTACCAGGGATGAGATGGTGAGACAGCATCTTTGAAGAATTTTCAAAAGCCACAAGCTCCTGCACATTAGTGTACCTACTTTGGGATATGAACTTCTTTTTTATGCCCTGGGTATAACATTGGGCAGTTTGTCCCAAAGTAATGCAAAGCCATGTACTTTGCTCAACCCTATTCAGAATCTCTTCACTCTTATGTTACATAGTTCCAACATACTAGGATATTTGTCCTCTTAAGGGTAAAAGTGTGGTCTGCCTAATAAGATATCTTGAAACAAACAAAAAGATACAAGAGAGAAAATAAAGGAGACCCAAGAATTGTACAAGCTGCATAATTACTCCCTGTAAAAACTGACATTTACCATGACAAGCCTGTGTCATCTACAAAGTTGAATATACACATTGCCTGATGTTTTGTAAAGTAGGGAGATGTGTCCTGTGTTTTAGCAAGTTTTCTATTTTGAGGGTCAAAATGAGGAAATCTTTGCTGCTTCAGTTCTCAGGAAGGGTCACTTGAAAGGTCATATAAAGACTTTCATTCTCTCAAAGTTCTGAAAAGTTAGGGGTCCAACTTGGGCATATGTCCTGTTGGTCATTTGTTGACACAGGTGTATACTGAGCCTCTTCCCCCACTTTATGTGGTCCAGATGACAGCCCAGCTGAGGTGAAGGGAAAGAGGTGGGGTATGGGGAGATGAGAGGCTGCTGCCTGTGGATACAGTGACTGGAGACCCTCAGCTCATGAGTGGCCCTGAAACCAAATGCTGAGGAAATCCTCTGCAATGAGGCCAAATACAATGAGGCTTTCTTTTACTTGGCAGCTAACAAACACTATATGTCACCCTGAAGGGTGTGTGTGACACAGATTGAAACTATAAGTAGTTCTAATAAAGGGAACTTCAGGGTATGAGCTATTGATGGACATGCTTCTAAGGGAGGGGTCCTGGAGGAAGCAGTTTGTGGCATATTGTACACTCTTTCCCTTCTTAGATAAAGGGCTTAGAGAACCCTAGGGAATTTACCTTAATCCAACCTTTCTCAGGTTCATTTGCTCAGAGTTTGGGAACCCCTGGTTGAGATGTAGTCATTAGCCATGCATAATGGGTTAGGGAGGAACTAAGGAGCTTGGAGGGGGGCTCCCCAATCCTGAAGGCTGCTACAAGGGAGGATGTACGGCCTCTGCCCCTAAAACACAGTTTTTGGCATGTTGGCTAGAAGCTAGGACAGAGCCAAAGGACAAGTGCTTAGGAGTGGAGCACGTGTGCCCTCCTGCAGCACCTCCCCATGCCAGGCTCTGGCAGGCACAGCTCACCAAACAACCTCCCGTCTGTTTCAGCACACTGCTGCTGGGGCGGAGGGTGGAGGCCAGTCCCTGGTCTCCCCTGGCTCCTGCCTCGAGGATTTTCGGGCCACTCCCTTCATCGAGTGCAGTGGTGCCCGAGGCACCTGCCACTACTTTGCCAACAAGTACAGTTTCTGGTTGACGACAGTGGAAGAAAGGCAGCAGTTTAAGGAGGAGCCAGTGTCTGAAACACTGAAAGCTGGCCAGCTCCATACCCGGGTCAGCCGCTGCCAGGTGTGTATGAAAAGACTGTAGGGTGGCATCTGCCATTCTGCCCCTTGCCCTCTCTACCCCTTCACAATGGCCACCTCACAAACCTGAACAGTCTGAAGAAGGAAGGCCTGAGCCCTTTACCTATCTGTCAAGTTGTACATTGGAGTCTCACTTGGGCTGGACTGCTGGACACTAGCCACCTAACCCTCAGCCCCAGTAGATGAGCTCACCCTGCTGAGATCTGCTGTTCAAAGTTTCCATCAACCTGGTGCTACCATTTGATTTGGATGTTTGTGTGACTATTCACGGCTACCTCAGAAAGCTTTGCTGGGCCACCACTTTCTCAGACTGCTAGCTTTCCTCACTGTCTTGATCACAAAAGTCTTCACAATAGTTAAGAAGTCATTGCGTTATGACCAGAGGCCACCACACATTATTTTGTTAAACCAAAGCCCAGTGTTTCCACATTAATTTTTTTTTTCTGACTGAACATTCATAGATGGCTGAATTCTGCACAGAGCAAGCCCTCACTATTCAAGGCAGTCCCCTATATCTAGGCAGGCAACAAAACTAGAATGAGGTGCCAGTCAGTAGCCTGGGGTGACTCTGGCTCCTTCCAGAGTAAGAAAGACTGGGCCCCATATTGCTTAAGGAGGCATGAAGGCCAGCAGCTGAGAGGGGCCCAATAACTCCATAAGGTCCCACACAAATCACTTCTTCCAGGCCGGCTGTCCCCCAGCCAGAGACAGAGAACTTGGCCCAGTCCAAAGCAGAGCAGAGGATGCAACAAATGTGGCCAAACCCATAAAAGGAAATGAGAACCACAACCCTCTTTCCTGGGCCAGGGGTAGAGGGTGGATGGGTAAGGAGGTGTGAATTTTGCTTTTGACTCCAGGAACAAAAGGGTAAATCTTGTGTCCTGATTTCTCAGAAGTCCCCGTTTATTCCAAATGCCATCCAGATGTGTGCAATGTGGCAAATTGAAGCTGCAGTGTTTGGGTTCCTTTGCATTCTGAAGCTATTAGAGACTTTCCATTAAATTGGTCATCTGACTGTTCTTTTACAGGTAGTCTTTTAAACTATTTTGATATGTTTTTCAAACCTCATAAAAATCTAGCGCATTCCTCTCATTAGCAGTGAGCAGACTAAGCAAACCTGAGTTGGCCATAAAGTATACTGTATACTGTTTGTGGGATTTGTTTTAGCCATTTTCTTTAATTATCAGTTTCCCAAAACATTCTTTACTATGTTGACATGAGACAATACCTTCCAGGTAAATCTGTTCCCTTAAGTATTATGTAAACTGTGCCAACACAAAGCATAATCAGTATAAACTGAACTACTGTCACCTTCATCTCCTAGCTGAGTAATAAGCATAGTATCAACTTTGTACATAGCAAATAAAATGAATAAAACCAAAACATTTGACTCTTTTGATTTTCTTTGATGAGAACTTTTCTAGCATCCTTTCTCACTAACCTCTATTATAAAACAATTTTCGTGGATCAAGAAAATTGATCCAAGTCAGGGTTGAAGAAGTCCTATACTGGCCAACAAATCCATAGCATACTTCAAGAGAAGCCTACAACTGCTTTTAACCCCATCACATGCTACTCAAGAAAGGATTTTCTGTACACCTGTGCCCACAGGATCATTTACAGATAAATTAAAAGTAGAGATTTTATTCAAGTCATTAAAATCAAATTTAAGCTATACATGTGTGCATAAATGCATGTATTTATGTGTGTATACTTAAGTATGTACATATATTTATATATGTATAAAATCCATCCTCTGGAAGGATAAATAAGAAATTAATAACATTGGGAGATTTCAAGGAAGGGAACTGACCCATGGGAAGGAGATGGGTTTTACTGAGTACCATTTTACATCTTTTGACTTTTAAATCTTTGGAATACATTAATCTACAAGAAAAAAGGAAAAACATGGAACCTAAAGAAAGTGAATTGGTTGGTGGTAGTTTCCAAACCCCACTTGCTAGTCTCCTAGGAGACTGTGTTAAGTGTAGGGGTGAAATGCAGAGCCATGTGAAATGCAGAGAATTAATAAGGCAAGGAAAGGAAAACAGGAAGATATTGCAAAGACTTGTGTATACTCACAGCAGAGTGGTTAGCAGAGCTAATTTGATGAATATATATTTTAAAACTTAGTAAGTTACTAGTCTTGAAATGGTTTGGAAATGTATTTAATGCACAGATTGAATGTCACCACATGATTCATTCTTTCTACATATGGCCATCTACCCAAACAGTATAATTCAAACACAATTTATTTTTAATACCTCAAACAAAAACCAACAATTTAAGTGTGTGGCAAGCTACAGCCTGCAGGCCCAGTCCAGCCCTTCACTTGTTTTTGTGAAGTTGTGCTGGCTTACAGCCATGTTCAGTTACATGCATATTGTATAAGGCTGCTTTTGCACCATTGAGTAGTTGTGACAGAAGCCACATGGCCTGCAAACTAAAATACTTACAATCTGGTTCTTTAGAGAAAAAATGTTCTGACCTATGATTTAAGTGATCATGATATGATTTAAAAACAAGTTGACTTTAGACAAAAGTACCAGTAAGGATAGAGAGACGGACCCATCAAATAGCAAGATAACCAAGAAGTGTACATTTGACATACTTTCCTTGACAAATGTGTGGATATATATTACAGTTATTTAAAATACATATTCAAATAATTTGACAAGAACTTTTTCTCCCTGATTCAGTTACTTTATTATTTGAGCGAGAGAACAGATTGCTTCTTATTATTTAGCTCCATAGAGGTCACACCTGAAAGAGTGATGAAGAACAGTGTAACCATCTTTCATCTGCTGGTGCTTGAAGCAAGATGATAGTTGCTGTCTGTCTTCCAAATGTCCTCATTTCAGCTGCTGAAGATTTTCTGTAGCCATGTAAAACAAGCTGAGAAGCAATGAACTCCTCCTAAACTTTCTAGACTCCATGACTGTTCTATTTCTTCCTGGGGAAGGGTTGTTGTCATTATTGTTGTTGTTATTTTTCTGAGAAATGGTAATTGGCTCAGTCATGATTGCTATTGAGTTTGTATGCTGCTGGCATACCAGGCACTTGCTGACTACAAAAGTTTTATATAACAAGTTCATGTTCATGTGGTGCCAGATGGAAGACAGACCTCCAAGTTGAGTTCCTATTATTCTACACACTCAGAATCTCAAAATCTTCCTCCAGGTCAAAGTCCTCCAATTGTTCAGTAGAGTCAATGAATTCTATCAGAATACAGAAATGAGAAAGAAAGAAAGCTTGACACTTGGGTTGATGTGGCCAATCAGTGTGTTACTTGGTGTGATGGCAGATTTTTAAATCACTTTGCTAAAGAAAGGCTGGTCTGGAGGAGACTTACAATTAGGTCTATTGCCAAGGATGAAACATTTTCTATAAAGACTTAAAATAACCAGACTTGTTACTTGTTTTCATAGGCCTGATCACAGTGATCTGGCCGATACTCTGCAAGCCCTGCCAGGTACCTTTTGAATCACCCATGGCTTCTTATTTGCTGTTTCTGAACTAGAGCATGGGTGATTCAAAATCTAGTCATTTTGAATTTGCATAGAACTTTTTACACTGAGTTCATGCTCTTCTTTTGTCATTCTTTGAAATCAGCAAGTATTGGCTCAGCAGAAAATTAAAATAATCGGAAACACTATTCCTTGATCAGCCTAGTTGAGCAGAAATTTTACTGTCCAAAGAAACCTGAGCCACACTTGCTTCTTTCTCATAAAACAAGTGCTATGGCTGGGTGCGGTGGCACATGCCTGTAATTCCAGAGACTCAGGAGGCTGAGACAGTAGGATTGCGAGTTCAAAGTCAGCCTCAGCAAAAGTGAGCTGCTAAGCAACTCAGCAAGACCCTGTCTCTAAATAAAATACAAAATAGGGCTGGGGATGTGGCTCAGTGGTTGAATGCCCCTGAGTTCAACCCCTGGTACCAAAATAAAACAACCAACCAAACAAACAACAACAACAACAAAAAACTATGTGTAGGTCTCCTGACCTAAAGCTCTGAATAAAAGCTTACCTGCCCCAGTGGTTGTCACTTCTGGTTTGGCTGGTGGTATAAAGGGAGGCCAGTGTGATGGATGTTTCTGAACTAATTCAAACATCCTTAAATTTTCCTTTAGAATTTCCTGGGGAAATACAGAAACAGTTGTAAATACTGCAGTCACTATGTTTCTGTCCAGTTGGCAATCTGAGACCCCAAACCCTAAGAGGTTGACAGGTTGGAAAAATGATATAGCAAGTATATATATCATCTACTTGAACCATCTGAAGACCTGAGCCATCTTCAGTTCTAGATACTGTTGGCCTGGCAGGAAGTACCCTGGAGGGAATAGCTCATGAAGCCCTATATGCATTGCCCATGTTCCATTCTAAGGCCAGTAGCCTAGGCCCAGCTCAATTTAGGGGTGAGGTATTCCTGAACTATTGGCTCCAAAGAAATTTTATTTAATCAAAATAAATATGTCCCAAGAAAATATTGGTACATAGTGGCATGGTTTCAGTTGTAATCCAACATTTAAGGTATACATTCTAATTTAAATAGACATGGTCTTATCATAAAATTCTCATTCTTGTTTTTTATTGGTCCTTTTAGTTATGCATGGCAGTAGAATTCATTTTGACATAATTATAAAAGCATAAAATATATCTTGTTCTAATTCAATCCTCGGTACCTCTTCCTCCCCTTTCCTCCCTCAGCCCTATTCCCTTCCTTCTACTCTATTGATCTTTCTGCCATTTACCATAGTTATTTTTAGATTAATTTCTTGTTTAATTGTGATACCAATACAGTTTTGCTACACTCTGAAATATAAGTAATGCTCTGAAAAATAATTTTCTATTATATCTCAGGAAATTATTACTTGTGATTCAGATTCAGTTAAGGACAGTAGTGTTAACTATTCATTCACTGGAGAAGAAAAATATCTTTCCTCCTTATGCTTGCAAAGGCTCTGGACTTCCTCCATCTCTTGAATCATTTGGTTTTGCAGAGAGAACTTCACATCTCCTGCCACCCTTTCCAATGCTTTTTAAATTAACCCCTATGATCTCCCTTCATTTTTCAATAAGCA